CAGTGATGGCGAACCTTTTGAGCTCGGCGTGTCAGCATTTTGAAAAACCCTAACTTAACTCTGGTGCCGTGTCACATATAGAAATTTTTTGATCTTTGCAACCATAGTAAAACAAAGATTTATATTTTTGATATTTATTTTATATATTTAAATGCCATTTAACAAAGAGAAATCAACCAAAAAAATGAGTTCGCGTGTCACCTCTGACACGCGTGTCATAGGTTCGCCATCACTGCTATAGGGGGTGGTAGGACCTTTTGTCTCCACAGGGGCCCCCTCAGCCATCACCTTTGTCCTAGATTTAACCTGCTGGCTAAGCCATTGTTGATGGCGGTGTGGGCAAGGGCACTGCTGTCCTGGGTCAGCTTTCTTTCAATACCAGTGCCAAGCCTTCCACTGTCCCCCAAGTCCCCCCAACAAATCCTCACATCTTACCCATCTGGGCAACCTCAGCCCTTAGTCCAGGGCCTTATCTAGAATAGGTGGGGCCGTGTAAACGGGAGGGAAGGCCTGGTATATCCAAGAGGCAGGCGGTAAGGGCTCATTTCTCTGTGTCCCCTGAACCTGGCCCAGGTTTGGGGCTGGTCTGCCTGGTGGGCCCCAGGCCTGCAGGAGAGCCAGGTGGGGACAGCTAGGACGCTGGGGGACCCTGGCAGCTTGAGTCAGCTCCCTCCTTCCCATGTCCAGTTCCTCTGTGTGTTTGTGAGGGCCTACTGTGTGCAGGCGCACACTGGTACCAGAATACACACATGTGCAAGACTAGTCCTTGCCTCGCGCAGGCCCCGGGAGGTGGAGGGGACAGACAGTAATGTCTGTGGCACAGTGGGAAGTGTCTCGTGTAAAGAAAAAGCTCGATTCCAGCGTTCACAATGGAGTCAGCAGAACTCTGCGGCTGAGGGGACCCCCAAGGCCAGGGGAGAGAAGTGAGGTGCTGGGTGCTGCTGGGAGGAGTTTGGTGCTGCCCCAGGGTGCGAGGTAGAAGGGGATGGAGGATGGTAATGATGCCTCCACTTGACTTTCTTGGACCTTCATTTTCTATTTGGTCAACACACACAGGTGTGAGGGGTGGGGCAGGGCAGGAGGGAAGCCTTCTTCCCCAGGCCTCGCCATTCAAGTCCCTGGTCACCACCTGGGCAGGTGCCCTCGGGAGCTCAGAGGGGCCCCCACCACGGGCTAGAAGGTGAGGGGCGAGGCTGGGACCCACCATTCCACGGAAGGCCAGGGTGGGGGGCATCCTCACTTCCTTCTCGACTTTCAGCTAAGCGAGGGAGTGCAGAATTATTTACTTTCCCTCCCTCGATTGCCACTTCTCCCAAACACCTCGGCTGTTTTATATCTCTGGGTGCAGCAGGGCTGGAACATTCTGTCTTGGCAGGATGTGCCTTCAGGGACAGCGATCAGAGGAGTTACCCCTCTGGCCCCGAGTACACTGAGCCCAGGTAGATGCTGTCCTGTCCCGGAGCTTTCCAGGTGCTGAAAGACGGCGCCCCGAGGGGCGTGTTGCTGGCCCTCCTTCTGGATGCTCAGGCAGGACTTCCCAGGCCCGGGAGGAGGGGACAACATTCCAGAGAGTGAGCCTGACAGCCCGGCAGTGGTTCCCCTGAGCCCGGCCTCCCGCCTACTTTCCATTTCCAGTGGGAAAAACTGTCCCAAACTAAGCAGCGGGCAGACTGTATTTTGCATCTTTGTGGTTTGAATGACACACATCATCAGGGTTGACTGTTTAGAATGAGAAATTAAAGTCCCGCTTTCACCTTCTCCCCTCACACTGACCTCCCCTCCCACTCTGTTTCTGCTCATCCCCCCTGGATGGTTGACTGTTTCCTGCTCACTGTCAGCTGGCCCCATAAAACACTACTCCGGCTGTCCCAAATGCAGAGAGAACCCTTATCATTTGCTTCTTAAATGTGCTAGGTCTTCCCCCCATTTCCTCTGATGGTCAGCACACCTGGCACCTTAGACTGCTCTGCTACAACTGTCCTTTGGTACAACAATATGCCCTTGATTCTGTTGTGACCTTGTCAAATGACCTTGTACTCTTTCTCACAGTAGAAACTGGCTATTATAAGAAAGGATGGAGTACTGCCATTTGCGACAACATGATGGATGTTGAGAGCAAGTTATACTAAGTGAAGTAAGTGAGACTTAAGAGGACAAGAACCATATGATTTTACTCACATGTGAACAGAAAGCAACAAATGAACAAACAGGACAAAGCAAACAAATGCCTAGACACAGACCACAGGAGGGTGGTTACCAGAGGGGAAGTGGGTGGGGAGAGGATGAAGGGGGTGAAGGGGGTCAAATATAAGGTGACGGATGAAGACTAGACTTTGGATGGTGAGCACACAATGCAATGTACAGAGGATGTACTACAGAATTGTACACTTGAAACTCATATCATGTTATTAACCAATGTCACCCCATACATTTAATCCAAATCTTGAAATTACTAAATAAATAAAAACAACTGGCTACTGATGTAAGATTCTTTTCTCCAACTATAGAACTCCTCTCTGAACCAGCACTCTCTTATGTCTTCCTGGTTTCTTTTCTAGCAAGATAATAAACTTTGACACGTGCTCAACATCAATTTGTCTAAGACATTTAGAGCCTTGACATCACTCCAGGCACACCCAGCTGCTGAGGTTTTCCCAGTCTGCTTCCCAGGCCTTTTCTCCTCTAGGCATTTGCAAGTCTCTAGCTCCAAGCCCCATGCCCAATCCTTCCTTTATGTTTTCAATCTACTTTCAACAGCTCAAGGCCCTCTCTTTCTAAGAAGCCTTTCTTTTTCGAATATATATATATATTTCAGAGAGGAAGGGAGAGGGAGAGAGAGATAGAAACATCAATGATGAGACTCATTGATCGGCTGCCTCCTGCATGCCCCCCTGACTGGGGATCGAGCTTACAACCTGGGCACGTGCCCTTGACCAGAATCAAACCCGGGACCCTTCACTCCACAGGCCGACACTCTATCCACTGAGCCAAACCAGCTAGGGCCTGAGAAGCCTTTCCTGGCCTGTCCTTACCCTTCCATTCCTCTGTCCACATCACTTTAGGGGCTCCGATCACCTTGATGACATCTATCATTCAACACCAGAAGACAAACAGTTTATAACTTAACTTGCGAAATACATGAGACATATTTTTCGCTAACACCCATTTGCGGGCCGACTATGCACCAGGTACCATTCGGAGAGCCTTCCACCAATGATCCCATCACAGTTTCCCACCAGCCCCGAGTCAGGCACTCCTGTTGCCGACTAAGCAACCGGGTCCTCGCCTCATGGCCGGCAAAGCCCTGATTTCATTTGGGCGTCTACTACTCTTCCTGGTAATTCAGGGAAAGCTCTATTCCAATTGGTTTAATCCAATCACTGCGATCCCATTTCCCTCAGAGCGATTGTTTTCAGTCAGGACACGTAATAACATTTTGGCCAATGAAGGGGAGTCTAATGTGTAGTGGGGGCGGGAGGGAAAGTGCTTCTCAAAAACTTCTGGATGCCAGACATTTTAACGATCATATTACAATCAGGAGGGGAACTCGCCCAAGAACCAGGAGACGTAAAGAAACGGTTAGAGCCGAGAAATGGAAAGTGATTGAGTCCTTGATGGTGGCACTGATGACTGAGGCAGCCAGCCCAGAAGTATCAGGGCTTCTTTTCATGTGAGGAGACATGCTTTCCTTATTGTTTGCATGGAATTACTTGTAGCCAAAAGCATCTTAATCGTGGAAGAGTCCATGAGAATGACCTATTATTATTTCCATTTTACAAGGGAGATAATTGAAGCTCAAAGAGCTTAAGTAAGTCATTTACCCAAGATGAGCTGCTAGTCAACCAGCGACTAGGACTTTCAGACACTACACAAAGCTCACGCTCTGAGAAAAGAGCCCGGTCTTCTTCTTAAAAAACAAAAACAAACAAACCATTGTCTCTAGCATGTCTGGAGGATAACAGGTAAATAGTAAATAGTTTTTAACATGAGTACCTGTGTGATCTGAATTGCTATGGCCATTCTTCCCTGAGCATCACTGAACAGGCTGATGTTCGAGTCTCCACAAAAGAGACA